TTTGTCATATAAATATATATATATATATTTGTCATTAAAAAAAAAGAATACAATGTCATATTATATAAATAAAATCTACATGACCGGGGCTAAAAGAAGACAATATTTGCCTTATCACTACACCCCGAATATATATATATATATATATATATATATATATATATATATATATATATATATATATATATATATATATATATATATATACATTAACAGATGACTTAGATTGCAAGATTGCAAATTATATGAATCGGGAAAACAAAATGAAGGAAGTGAATTCCAAAAGACTGATGTTCGAGGAAAACACGAAGACAAATAAGAATTTTTTGAAGCACTTAGGAACAGTTACAGTAAAACAGTGAGACTTAATTGAATGTCAAGTAACACAAGAACTTTTTTATAAATACTATAACTCCTGTTATAGTATTTATAGAAAAGAGAAAGAGAAGCAACATTATGACTAGGGCTGTATCGAATTTCAGCTCCTGCTCAGGCCAAAATCCGGCCATTTTCACAAATCCAGCCCAAATCCGGCTTCGGCAAAATATTAGCAAATCCGCATTTCTGAATTTTGATAGGATATGTATTACATCTTTCTTACTCGTGATAACATGTATACTTAACATTTTATTTTTACAAATCAATGTTTTTAGTAATTCTATAGTCTATGAACTTCATGTTTGTTTTTTGGTATCTGTATTTACATTTCTTTACAATTTAATTAGCTAAGCCTATTTTCAAACAGCAACGCAACAAAAAATTCTGAAGAAAGACACAATATTCTGCAATAATGCAGGTGTGAAAACTATGAATTCAATCCTAATCAAGTCATTGGATAAGGGTTTTAAAGGCATTGAGGAGAAACCTTTTTATATAGTGGTGACACTGGCTGATCCATAATTTCAAACTAAACTCTTCTCATTACAGGCAACACTGACAGGTGAAAAAGCAAGATTGAAGTCAATCTGAGCATGCTGAGCAGCAGATTGACAAAACTAAAGAAAATCCAGCAAAACAAGCCTAGCTGGATACTTCTTATACATTATCATCATTAAAATGGCAATATATATAGATGAAATTATTCAGTCTACGCCCGCTTGTGGCACAGCACATAAGCAACAATTACCAACAGGCATTGACACTCAGCTACCCAGCTAATAATTAACGTTCTAAGAATGTTACCATAACGTTCGTTTAGGTTTGAATATCATACGTTTCAAATGTTCTTTGAACCAATTTTTGTGAACTCCGATTTACAGTTCTTAAATGTTCGCTGTGAATGTTCAAACAACAAATAACGAACGTTGATCTAACGTTTGCTGCAAATGTTACTTTGATAGCTCTAGAACGTCCACCCCTGCTAAAAGTTAACGTTACCATAACGTTTGTTTAGGTTTGCATAACGTATGCTGCAAACGTTATTTGAGCAAATATTTGTGAACTCCAATTTACAGTTCTTGAATGTTTGCTAAATGTTCAAATAACAAACAGTGAATGTTCGCTGGAAATGTTACTTTGACAGCTCTTAAACATCCACCTTAAACATGTATTACGAACACAGACGTTTACCCAACTTTTTTTTTTCTTTTCAATGTATAGATTTAAACATACTTTTTGTTTAAACCTACGTTTGCTAGTATTTGTAATGTAATGCTTTTTTGAATTTACAAAACCTATTTTTACTTAATAAATACTAATTCACCATGTTTTATAGTTGAATTACACCATATGAAGCTTATACGAAAACTCGCGATTTTACTATTACATTTACGATTTAATATACATTTCGACCAAAGGCTCACAATTAGCTGATCTGATTACAATTAAGAAAAATAATATTTCTTGCGATGAAAAAGTTGATTTATTAGTACTAGTTAGCATAATTTTTATGTAAAGATAAATATATATATATATATTTATCTTTACATAAAAACTAAACACTGAATGATTTAAACCTAAAGTTTTAAATCTGTCATAATTTTAGACAATTTCTATATTAGACAATGTCTAAAATGTCACTTTTAAATATGTTTTAAAATACCAAACCTTACCATACATCATAATAAATAAAAACAATTCCTAAGTAAAAACAAATGCTTTTTATGGATTTGATAAACAAACTAGTTTTATTTATGAATTATCTTTACACAAAGAATGACATTAGTTCACAATAATGTGTTTTAGGGATAGCATAATTAACTTTACCTTTTAACGGGTCCCTATTATTTTGAAAAAAAATAATTCAAAAGTATCATGTTGGATCTTCAAAGTAGTGAAATTGTATAAAAATTTCAATTAAATAATCATTTAATAATACAACTATTCTTTTAGATTTAATTAAATGAAAGCTATAGTTTTTTAACCGAAAATAAAAGTACATTTTTACAAGTTTTGAATAAAAAATTAATTCATATATATATATATATATATATATATATATATATATATATATATATATATATATATATATATATATATATATATATATATATATATATTTTAAAACAAATATCATTGTTGAAATTTATATATTATTTTTGCTACATTATTTTGAGTACCAGGTTGACCTACTTTAAAAGAACTTTTTTTTAATATAAGGACACCATTGAAATGTTAAGTTAATTAAGCTGTTACCTAACATAGGAATAATGCTTTGAAATTTGAAGGAATTATTTTTTTCTCAATTAACAACATTTAAACATCTAGCCACTTAATAATTAAAAAAAGTTTTTGATCTTGTCATATAACATATAACATAATATATGCTAGCCGGTACTGTCAGAACTTTCATTAAAATGTCACTGCAACAGAAAACAACTGTCACTTGGTATTCTGAATAGTGAACATTGTTGACCATTTTCAGCAGCAAGTAGGGATGTACAGTAGTTTTTTTTTGAAATCCGGCTTCGATTTCGGCTGGATCTGTTAGTAGAAATCCGGTTCCAGCCGGATTTGGAAAAATTAAATCCGGTACAGCCTTAATTATGACAATGGTTGAAGGTTGGCTACAAATGTAGGTCCAACTATGTTTATAATGCATTTTTCAAGATGTTACCTGATATACCATAAAAAAAGAACTTATGGAGAAGACCAGCATTCCAAACTTTATCAAAGGCTTTAGAAATGTCAAGAGCAATAGCCCTAACCTCTCTATCTAGTCTAATCTAATGCTCAATAAAACCTATCTGTTATTATCTTTAACAAATCAGCAGTAGAATGAGAAGATTGAAATCCATATTGATGACCAGTAAGTAAGTTATTAGATTCAAAATATGAGATAAAGTATTTGTTAATTAAAGACTCAAAAACCATGCTTATAATATTAAGAAGACTATTGGAGCGGAAGTTAGACGAGTCAGATATACCTCCAGAATTTTTGAAAATAGGGATAACAGGTAGTGCTTTCCAGCAGGCTGCAAAACAAGATAAGCATTTGTTGGATAGTTTTAAAAGTATAAACAACAGTTCCAGAGACTTCTGCAAGACTGTAACAGGCATGTTGCTGGGACTACAAGTTGTAAAAGAGTCTAAGCAGTAAATTTTAATAAATGCAAGAGAGATGGAAAAACAAATTTGCCCTTATAAATAGTTGTCATTTTTTTTTTTTTTTTATTGCAAAGTTTAGACATCTATCAACATTATTCAGTATACAGGTTGTTTTTTTTACGAAAGTTTTCTCATTAAAGTGAAAAGTTTCTAACCAAAAAGAATGTTTTTGCTATGAATATCACTTCATTAAAGCGATTGCACAGATTGGTTTAGGCGCTTTAAAAGTGGTGATTTTAATGTTGAAGACAAAGAATATTTGGGGTAGCCACAAAGTTTGATGATAAGGAACTGAAATCATTACTAAATGAAGATTGTTATCGTTTAAAAGTAGTTGTATTACAAACTAAAAGCCTTCCCAGGAGAAGTTTGCGGTTTTTTGTCTTGTATATTCACGCTTAATTTTTTTGTTTTAGACTACTTGGTCACAGCTGTTTGCAAGTTTTTCAATACTTAGCGAAAAAAGTTAAATTTCAAAAACAAAGAAAGCAAAACTAGAAACATGCTAGATGAAAAACCATACACTGCTGGTAAGGCTTTAGCTATGAAAAGTGAATTTATTATGATAACCTAAAGCAAAAAAAAAATCATATGTTCGATGCTGGCAAGCCAGGAGCATCACAACCAAAGCAAGATATACACGGCACCAACAGTAATGCAACAGTATTTGGTGGGATCAACACCAACAGTATTTGGTGGGATCAGAAGGTTATAATGTCAAGACAATTACAGGGGACCTTTACAGAACAATATTGATCTGCTTGAAGAGAGTAATCATTGAAAAATAGCCAGAATAAGTATAATAGCCTTGATCTTGCCTGTCCTAATTACCGTTTGCTTTAATCAATTTAGAATGTACTCACTGGAATAATGGGTAGTGGTGTAGTAGAGTGCTTGCTTTGTAGAATGAAATTCTGAGTTTAATTCCCACCACATCCATGGTAGTATTGCGCTCAATTTGTTTCTCTGCTCAGTGGCTTTGTCAAGGTTTCGTGTTTTAAAGTTAAAAAGTTAAGAGAGGATTGTAACCACAATAAAAGTTGTCTTCTGAACTGTAGTAGTCCCCTTGATCTAGGTAAGGTGAACTACTAAAACTAAAAAAAAAGATTATTTCAGAACAGGATATCTGAAATTAGCTTGATTCTTTTTTCGCCTCAAAAGACAAATAGTTCTTTTGGCATGGAACTCATAAATGGCAAGATATATGAAAATGATGCCATAGGCAATAACTTGAATCGTGTACCAATTCATTTCATAATTTATGTAAAGCCATATTTTCAACAACAACAAAAAAAAACAGATACTTATTTGTATTCCTTATATATATATATATATATATATATATATATATATATATATATATATATATATATATATATATATATATATATATATATATATATATATATATATATATATATATATATATATATAAATTATGATCTTTTTTATAGAGAGGTAGCTCATTGTCTAAAACGTATTGGAGATGATTTAGTAAATAACCATCAATTGAATCATTTAATATCTTCAATACAAGTTACACGTGAAACTGCCTATAAAACATTTTTCGATGTTGCAAGTCATGTGTTTGCAGATGGCACTATAAATTGGGGACGAGTTGTTACACTTTTTTACTTTGCTTACAAACTCGCTATTCAAGTTGTTAACCAGTTGCCATTAGTGGAAATAGTCATTGGTTGGGTTCAAAAGTTTGTTACAGACAGACTTGCTCAATGGATTGCAGAACGTGGAGGATGGGTAATGCAGTTTTTAAAAAATATTGTTGTTTTTCTAAAGCATTTTTATTTTTTTAATTTTATTTTTGTTGTTGTGCTTTGATTTATTTTTTCAATTTAATTTCATTATTAATGTAATATAAGTATTATGAATAATAATAATATTATTAAAACTATATTATTATTGTATTATTGTCACTTTTTTTTTAACAAATTCACTTCCAACAAATTCACTTCCAAAATAGTTGCAAGCAATTTTTTTCAAAAATTGTGTCATGACAACATAAAGACTAGAAACAATACCAAATGTTCACAGAATAAAACTAGGTAAATAAGACTTTTTTTAGCATGATGGAGCAGTTAAAATAAAAGAATATGATATAGCTAACTGATAAGTCATGCAAGGTTGAGTTTTAGTTGATGTAACAAGTGATGATCAGCAACTATAGTAGTATTTCTAGAAAAGAGAAAAAGATGCAACCTTATGATAATGGGACAGGGCTCAAGCCTGGCAGCTAGAGTAGGTCCAACAACATTTGCAATGTATTTTAGGGCCTTGTCTAAAAGAGAGAGCCTCATTAGAAGAACCAACAATCAAAATTTTAAGCAATCAAAATTTTATGATTTTTTTTGTCAAGACTTTTTTAGTATTTATTTTGCCATTAACAAATGTTTAAATCATTGTAAATATAAGACAAGGTGAAAGAAGATCAAAGGATCGTCAGAACCTTAAATAAGTTCAAACAAGCGTTTAACAAAGGTAATAACAATAATATAAAACTTTCCAAAGTATGCATTATATAATCAAAGAGAGATCACACAATCTACTCACCAATAATTTATATAAACATATAAAATATTGGTGAAGTTAGTATATAAGATTTAAACTAAAAATAAAAATTAAACTGAAAATAAAAAAAAAATTAAACTAAAAATAGTGCAATAAAATTAGTGTTGTGACCAAAACTAAAAATTGCAATTAACTAAACTAAAAAAACCGTAACTAAAATTAGTCGACTAACTTTTTAGTTAACTAAAATTAGTAGACTAATTTTTTAGTTAACTAAATTTACCCAACTAACTTTTTAGTTAACTTAAATTAGTCGACTAGCGTTTTAGTTAACTAAAACTACCCGACTAATCTTTTAGCTAACTAAAATCACCTGACCAACTTTTTAGCTAACTAAAATTGCAAGACTAACTTTTTAGTCTAATTAAAATTAGTTGGCTAACTTTTTAGTTAACTAAAATTAACCGACCAAGTTTTAGTTAACTAAATATACCCGACTTTATTTTTAGTTCAACTAAAGAAATTTATAAATGTATAATATAAATAATTTGGGTTCATGATATCATTTCTATTAGAATTTTTGAATAAGTTTGCTAAATCATGATCATTTTACCACATAATACCGCAAAATTAAAAAAATATCAAAATAATTTTCTTTCAATTTTCAGTGCCAAAGGTTTAACAAGATATTTCAAGAAAATATTTCATAAAAAATCCAAAAAATAAACATAATAAAACACAAATATTTTTAGAATTGAATAAGCTACCAAGGCCAGCTCAAAGGAATGAGGGGATGGGGTGGTTGGTTTTGTGTGTGACATCCTTTCAATGAACTAGCTTCTTTAGTAAGCCAATTCGACTCTTTTAGATAAGTAAGTCGGCAAATGTAGATTTTCAGAACAGCCACTTGGTAAATTCCAAAAAACAAGAATTTTTCCTTTTTCTAGTCAGTTAATATTTTAACGACGTTCTCTACGTGTTACCTTCTTGTGCCAGCCCTTTAAGCATCAGTTTAAATTCATTAAATTTAATATTGAAGTTTTTTCTCGTAATAAATATTTTTCAATACATTTTATTCTTAAATAAATATTATTAAATTTAGTATTCGAACTCTTTTGTGTGAAACTGGTTTTTTTTTATTGCAAAAATGTAAAAAAATTAATATAGTTTTTGAAGAATGGTGAAGAAAAAATTAAAAAAATTATTGTGTGATTTTAATGTTCTTGAGTGTGCGGTTTTATCATAATGTTGCCTAAAACTAAAAACTTTTTTTTTTTACCTTTATTAATTTATTAGTTTTTTATTTATCAGTGATTTTTTTTTTTTTCAAATATTTATTCATATATTCTTTAGTATTTTTTTAGCATATAAAAATATATATAATTTTATATTATATTTATAATATATTTTTTAGCATATAAAAATATATAAAAAAATATATAATAAAAAAGTTATTAAATTTAATTTAAAATTGTTTTGAACCGGTTTTACATGTATTTTAAAGTACTTAAAAACTACGTATTGCATTTTTCATGTAATTAAAATGTCATAAACATTTTCCTGGTTTTAAAAGCGACTGAAGCTACTTAATAAAATGTTTTCATTATTCAACAGTAAAGTATTATTTAATACATTTTATACACTATTCAACAATTTATATTGCCAAAATTGCATTCTTAAATCCAAATACCAATCTTCTTTTTAAATTTTGCAAGTCTTGCCAACCGACGAACAACTATACTCTGAAAGCAATAAATATATGCATAATAACTTATTTAAGGATTACTTTTTTTATGTCAATACTTTCACCTGCCTAACTGTAGTGTTTGCGGGTTATAATAGTCGGGAAAGAAGACACAACGATAAATGTTCGTATATTGCGTATTGTAATTGTGGTAATAGTTTTGTTAACATTACAATAGGTTTGGGGTGGGTTATTAAGGGAGGGTATTTAATGCCCATTTATAATTTTTAAGAGAACAAAATATTTTTATATCTTCTGTGTTTGGAAGAACTAGAATGCCAAATGTTTCTACTGCATTGTTTCTAATTTTTTTTTTTTTTTTTTTTTTCTACTGTATTTTTCAATCTACTATATTTTGTTTTTCTGTTGTTTTTATTTTTACTTTTTTTTTTTTTTTTTTTTTTTGTATTTAGGGTGGTTATCAATTGTTAGGAATGGTTGATATTTGAAGGGGTGGGAGGGGGAGTCGTAGATTTGTTATGAAAATTAGAGATTAAATCCATTCCTATAATATGGCTGGGGACAGGGGCCCTGTCCCCAGCCATATTATAGGAATTTTTTTTTTTTTTAATGTCAATATCTTCACTTCCAACAAGGCTGCCAACAGCCCCTATTAGAGTTAGGAGTTACTGGAAGAGATAATATGGAGTTTATAGATCAAGATAACGATTGACAGACGACTTAAAGGATTGCAAATTTTATTAATTAGGAAAGCAAGATGAAGGAAGCAAACTCCTGATGTTTGAGGGGAAAACTAGACGAATAAGAGTGTTTAGAACACTTAGGGTTAGTCACAGAAAAAGGATGAGACTTAAGTAAATGACGAGTAACACAAGAATAAATTTTAGTAGTTGGCACAAAAGACGCTAGCTCTTTAGAGCAGTACCGAGTATAGTATTTGTAGAAAAAAGAAAGAGAAGCAACATTAAGATGATGTGATAATAGTTGGAGGTTGGCTGCAAGAGCAGGTCCAACTATATATTGAAGTTTTATAATATTCAAATATTTAAATTTTTAATTATTTATAATATTTACATCAATATATGTTTAATTATAAAATATCAATATATACTTTATAATATTTAAATATATTAAAATATATCTTTTTCCAGTAGTCTTACTAGTTTCCCATTTATTTTGTTTACAATTTATTTTTAACATATCGTCATTTACACATATTATTATTATTAAACGTAATCATTTTTTTCCCCTTACTTTTAATAATTTGTTTTTAAATTTCTTCATATATTCTTAGTTTAAAAATATGTGAAGCATAAATTATCTTAATTAGATATGGTATATTTTACTTTTACCGAGTTTAAATTTAATCTTTTTCATCTCTTCTTTACTGATTTTGATTCTAGAATGCAGTTCAAGAGTACTTTGGCTCAACTACAGTGCAATTCGTTGGAGTTTTTGCAGCCGGTTTTTTATTTGCTTATATTTTAACCAAAGTTTTTCGAAGATGATACTGATGTTCTGTAATTAGTAGCAATCAGATAATTTTCTTCTCTGGAATTGAGATTCAGGAGAATTTAAACTACAAATGGTTGAATTTTTTTTGACTTTTGTTTTTGTGGCTTTTTTAAACAAAAAATCAGTCTTCGTGAAATTTTGCAGATATTTTTAGGTTTATTTTAAACCTGATGCGAGCATGTAAGTTCTGCATTTTCCATTTTGAATTTTGTTAAGCAAAACTGATTTTGCTTTTTAAAAATATAAAATCTTTTTATAAAAGATTTTAAGTTTTGTTGTGTTAACTTTGTATATTTATATATTAAACTTTATTTTTATAGAGAAAATTTGTGAAAATATTAAATTTATTTTCCAATTGTATGCATTTTTAACTTGAAAATACTTTTACAGGTGTGTTAAATAATTTTATTAATTTTTAGTAAAACATTTTTCAGTGAGATAAAAAATGAAAAATTAATTTTTTTGAATTTAATGTTGACATTTTTGAATGGTTAAATTTTTTTATATAAATGACAAATAATTATTTGTTTAAAGGGTAATGTTTAAGGTTTATATATATATATATATATATATATATATATATATATATATATATATATATATATATATATATATATATATATATATATATATATATATATATATTTATAAATATATAAATATATATAAATATATATATATATATATATATATATATATATATATATATATATATATATATATATTCACCTGTTTATTTAGTTAAAGCCTAAATACGTATAATATTATATAGAACTTGATTCTTTATTGTTGAAAGATTCATATTTCTTTTGTAAATTAGTAAAATGTAAGAAAAATATTTTTTTTTCAGTTTTTAGCAAACTTAATAAAACTATAAACATTATAAAATACACAAATTAATGGATTTATTTTTTAAGAGTATTTATAAAAAAGAGGGTTCTCTATCGCCTATTAATAATATATTGCATTTGCCTCAGTCTTTTATTTGAAATCATGTATTAGTTAGTAGTTTTTTATGCATAAAAAAACATTAAACAGTTTGTTTTTACTAACTTTAGCATTTAAATTGATAATAGGTTAAAAATATATATTTTTTCCTTGTTTTTAGAGGGGATTACCACAGTTCAGAACAAGTTTTAAGAGTAAATATTAAAGCCACAAATTGCTAACGGAACTTTGGTGTTCCGTTAATTCGAATTTATTATTTTCAAAACATTTCTGATCAAGTCAACAAAGCCACACAAATAATAGGTTTAATAAAAGAAAAATTTTAATCTTATCCAGGTTTATTATCCTTTAAGTTATTATCCGACAAATAAAATAATTGATATTGATAGCCAATTTAATACACGTGATCATGTATTCAAACTAAAAATACATTCATGCCGTTTAAATTTACGTACGAAACTTTTTCTCTAAGAACAATTATCTCTCTCTTCCTAATGAAATTGTAACTGCATCATTTCTAAAAAAGATACTTTTAGACTATCTCAAAAACGAATGGCTTCTCTATGACTGATTCACATTTCTTTTTTATTAGTTATTAACTACTGTGCCATTGTTAAAATAATATGTAACGAGGTTGACAGGCGATTTATGCCTATACAATCTATTGTAAAACTCAATGATCAATAAATGAATATAACTGTACTTATATTACAATTAATAATAAGATTAGTGCTTGTCTAAAGAAAATCAAATTTATTGCGTTATTAAAAAAAAATGGATATTACAATAACAAATATTAAACGACTTAAAGTAACCGTTTAAGAGAAAAAGTTTCGTATGACTGTCATATCTTTAGATTTGTTTACTAATTTTTTAATCTTAATAGTTCTAAGAATTTAACATACTATCTGTTAATCAATATTTTACAATGTTCTATCTTTTCATTTTTTAGTAGATGTTTTATTAAAGCATGATTTTACGTTTTTATTATTGTAATTGACCATCTAAAAAAAAAAAATTATTTGACCGTCTTTTGCTTTAGTACTTGACCATATGTTCAATGAGTGAAAAATGAAAACCGTGATTTTTTTAATTTTATTTCACTAAACATAACATTGCAATGATATTGAATATAATTTAACGATGCAATGTTTTAATAAAATTGAAATAATGAATAAGGGTTAATAATTCTGGTATAAAGTATGACCCTCCTCGAGAACACAAATTTGAATAGCGGATTTTCCTTTGTATTTGTTCAAGCTTATTTCCTTATTTGGTCACCGATTAGAAGAAATACCACCATTAATATTTGTGGCTTTTTCGTAGCCATCGACCACAACATACACTTTTTTTTCCCTGATAATGTTTCCTTTCACACTTTACAACTACAAAGTTAGTTTTCGTGTGAATAGCCAAATGGCAGGAGAGTAGTTTCTCACTGTTTTTAAAACCATTCTACAAGAGTAGGGTTTAATTTAACAATTTTTCTTTTAAATAGTCAACAACTGTAACATAGTCGATTACTGGTCTGTTACCTTTTAACGACAAATAACAAAAAAATATATATATATTCTCAAAGTAACTGACAAACTTTTAAAAAGCAGCATTTACAAATATTATTGGCTCAAAACTGGAAATTATCACGGATAGACTTGATAAACTCGAAAGCGAAATCAATATCAAATCAAAAACCTCAGCTTTAGAAAAAAACTTAAGCGATATCAAAGAAACTATTAACTTCCAAGTGGATATCTTTACAAGTAGCAATATCAAAAAAAACTATAAACTTTTTAGTTTTTTAAATATTTGATGTAGGGGGACGTCACTTAATCTCGTCAAAAATCAAACATCAGTTGACATTTATATTTATTTCTCATCACTTTAAAATAAAACATATTCTTCTAAAGATACCAAAACAAAGCGTAAGAACGTTGCTTTACTCTAATATAAAAATAAAATATATTCCTGCATTAATTAAGAAGATTAAACCTTTTATTTGTGTCACTTTATTTGGTCCACGTGTTACTTTATTTCGTCTAATTTTTTATAAGTTATAAAGATATCAATCGTGTTGTTTGTGTATGAGATGTAAAAAAGAAAATTTATTTTCTAGAAGTTATTTTAAAATTTTTTAAGTTATTAAAAATTCATTTTTTCTTGATTTTGCATAAAGTCCTTCTATTAGTTTTTCAGTACGTTCAGCAACTTGGTTAGATATGCCAGATATAGTTCATATAAGAACTTGAAATCATCTCGCCATCCAGGGCTCTGGCCAAAGCTAACATCATCTGTCGCAACGACAGAACTTAAACAGCTTTTGAATGAGAAAACTCATAACACATTCAAAAGGAGGTCAAGTACATGGTGCCGACAACCAATATATTGTGGTTTCTGAAAACTCTTGCTCAAGGCATCATCCTGTGTTAGCTTTAAAATCCTGTTCAAACGACCAGTATTAACTGCGGTCGTGTCACAGATTATCATGCAAATATTCACCCATGCATTGTATTCATCAATTAGGTTATCTAGTTTCTTGTGAATCACTGCAAACCCATTCTTACATTTTAGAATACCAAATTTGTTTTCGATTGTCATATTTTTCAGTAGAACTACTTGATACTCTTTTCTTTGCAATCTTTTACTATCAATCTGGAGGCAATAGGGATTTTTAATTTAAAGTTTTTGAACAATTTTGGTTTTTAATTTCTGTCCTTCAGAAATTACTCGTTTCCAGACACCCGCATGACTGAGCAATGACTAAAAGAACATCATGTGCTTTATTTGTAGAAATATAATTTTTCAGTACTAGTAAACTCGCTGTTTTAGTGGATCCTTTTTGGTATTTTAGTTTGCATTTAAGAGAAAATAACGTCAAAGAAAAAGTTGGATTCGGTTAAAGAAGCAGAAGTTTCAGATTCCGAAAATTCTGTTTGTGAAGGTTGAGATTGGACAGAGGCTTAAGGTTAAACTTTTTATAGGCGGATTCGTTTTCTTTGGTAGACTAATTCTAAAAGGGCTTGTTTAACCATCGAATAACTGATTTTTCCTCCACTCTTAATTTGCAGCTGGTAGAGTTCTTTATCATTATTTAGCTTTACAACCGATGGAATCCTTGTATCCCTTTTCTGTTTACAAGAAAAAGGTAGATTCTTCAACCGAATGCACCTGTTTGCTTCACAATGATGCTGGAATTTCTATAAGACATTTCTATTTGGTTTAAATGTCTTGCACCTTTTTGCCCTCTGTCAGATTTGGAATTTTGCACTGAAAACCAGATTTTAGTGAAATCGGATTTAGCCAAAATCAATGAGAAAGTTAATAAAATATAACAATAACAACATAATTATATATATGTATATAAACTAACGTCCATAATTATTCGAGTGGTTGAACTTTTCGAAATAAGATATCATAGTTTTAGCATCGGGAGAGAAACTGTAAGCAAAGTCTACCTGAATTATATGTTATCTTCCTTTTTATTAGGTTTAGAAAAAAAATTAATAAAAGTCCGATTAGATTAATTATTAATTTACTTACCTTTTAATCATTCTAAGCGACAATAACGGCTACACATATTCTTGGCATTCTACTTAACAACTTATCCAACTTGTCGCAGTCAATTTTATGCAGGTAACTATCAAGTTTTGTCCACATCTTATTCATCATTTGTCATTAGTTTTTGACATTGCTTTTAATTCCACGCATAAAAATCCGATAGGAGGGAGATCTTGTAATTGGAAAGGCTAACTCATTTTTATATATATGATTGTTTTTAACCTCAGTCAAATAACTTAAACAAGTTTTTGAAAAATGTGTTTTAGATTAAAATTTTGAAAAATGTGTTTTAGATTAATTCATAATCAGAAAAGTAGCAGTTCACAAACTGCGATGCCCTAAAAAGAGAAATGTAGTCAGCCATTATGTTGATCAACAGAGTACTTTATTACTCAGAATAAAAACCTGCCTGATTTTAGAGAAATGAAACTTGAATTTTATGAAACTCAAGGCGTTTAAAACAGGTCAATATTCGTTAATTTACATTACAAATTACGCTAATTTATAATAATCTCTTCACTTCTCAAAAATCTAAATGTAAATAATTTTAAAATTACAAACTTATTTTGTTTTTGCAAAAAAATATTTTAAAGTGAAGCAGTTTTATCTTCACCTCACTATTTTTTAACCTTTTATGGTTTTATGATATAATTAGTTTACTCTCCAGCTTAACAGTTTTATTTACGGTCATGGCTATATGAAGATCTCTGACATGATGGCAGGAGGTTAACAAGAATAATGGTTGGCCAGTAAACTTAGCTAATCTTGTACAAACGCTTTTTATGAAGCCAGGGTTTGAAGTGGGTGAACTGTGTGAGATCAAAAGCATCTAACAAATTTCTTATTACTGTGTATTGGGACTCAATGCTATAGTGTTTAAAAACCACGTTTTTTTAATTTCATAACGAATTTGTGCGTTTAAAATACCACGAGTTAACAAAAATAATAGTAATAAAAATGTGCACAATCGGTATAGATAAAACACCTTCCATTACTTGTAATGACATTATTATATAGACAATAATTTGTAAATTTCTATTCGCGCCGATTGTTTGTAAAAACTCAAAAAATGTAAAAATATTAAACTTTAAAAGAGTGGCGCGATTATAAGTAGTCATCTAAAATAAAAAATAAAAAAATTTCATTAAGAAAATAATCCCTTGAGAATATTTTACGACACTCCGCGTATTAAAATTTGTTCATTTGGGTGGTCCTTAAAACAACTTTTCTTAAATGTCTGCTTATCACTTAAAATGTATTTTATATAATAAAATAATACTAGAATAAAAAAATTTTCAAAAAAAAAAGTTTTAAGGGGTTGCTCAAAACCCTTAAATTTCTGATGGGTCCCTATAATTATTAAAAAAAAAGTTCTTTAAAAGTATTTTGTGTTGGGTCTCAAAAGAAAAGAAATTATATAAAAACTTCAAAAATAAACATCATTTTATAAAAAAAATACATTATTATAGATTTCACTGGCTAGAAAATGACATTTTTAAACTAAAAAGCAAAAGTATGCATTTTTACAAAAAAAATTAATTATAATTTTATTTTGTACATGTTTTTTATAAAATGATGATTATTTTTGAAGTTTTTATATAATTTTGCTTCTTTTGAGACCCAACATGATATACTTTTGAAAAACTTTTTTTTGATAATTATATTAAGGGTTTAAGGGTTTTGAGCTACCCCTAAAAATATTTTTATTTTTCTAAAATTTTTTAATTCTAGTATTATTTTATCATATAGAACACATTTTCAGTTGTTGAGCACACATTAAAAAAAAAGTTGTTTTAAGGACCACCCCAATATATATATATATATATATATATATATATATATATATATATATATATATATATATATATATATATATATATATATATATATATATACATATACATACATATACATACATACATACATACATACATATATATATATGTATATATATTTATATATATATATATACATATATATATATATACATATATATATATATACATATATATATATACATACATATATATATATGTATATATATATATATATATATATATATATATATATATATATATATATACATATATATATATATATATATATATATACATATATATACATATATATGTATATATATATATATATATATATATATATATATGTATATATATATATATATATATATATATATATATATATATATAAATATATATATACATATATATATATGCAGGGCCGGTGCACCCTATAGGCGAACTAGGCAATCGCCTAGGGCGCCAAAGTTTAGGGGCGCCTAAAAATTGATAAGTTTTTTTATATGCTAACAAAAAACAACGCTTTTGCTCATTGAGCAATATGTACGTACATTTTACCGAACGCAATCTAAATCATAACAAATATGGCGGCGTCTTTACAATCAAAGTGATTTTCATAACAACTTTCAATAGTTAGTCGACTATATTCTTTATATAATTTATACTGACAATATATATATATATATACATATAGACGAATAGTGACATTCTATATACTATTATACATTTATATTAAGTTTTAGACACTTATTAAGAAAAGTAAAATATTTTTTATATGAATATATAATAACTAGCTTAAATCTAGGGCTATTATATATTACGTATTATATTATTATTATACTTCACCATACGTATAACTTTGCTATACAAAATAAAATTTGAATTATTTAAACACAATGCATCTAGCAGGTTAAATTTTTTGTTGAGTCGCTTCTACAATATGTCTTGATCTGCACCAGCTAATTACACATTGAAATCTCATTCATATAGCTAACTTCCATTTCCGTTTAAAAAAACACAAAAAATACTAGCAGAACGTATAACTTTGCCAAGTTGTTTTTTGTATAATACAGTTAAATGATAACCTGTTAAAACCTTACAGAGCTGTTCAGACCTGTTGGAAACTATAGCTAGCTATATATAATTTATTCTTGAAGCCAATCACATAATGTATTAGTTAAACATCGCAACATTCATTTATTTTATTATTTTCTTGTTACATTTCAGATATGGCTGAGAGAAAGAAGCCTTCAGGAGCTCAATATCGTAAACGAAAAGTTGAACAGCAGAGGGAACAAGAAAAACAGAAGGGTTCATTGCTAAAGTTTACATGCCGACAAGACTCTACTAAAGAGGATAGTAATGGTGGACAGATTCCCACTGATATGGAAGCTGAAGAAATATCTAATGTTGTTGATAATGATAATGTGATGATGAGTGAAACACTTTCTTACTCAACAGTTCCCGTTTCCCATGCAGATAATGGCCAATTGAATAATTCTCTCGAGGAACATGTACAGCAAGCAAGTGAAGAAAAAACGGATAATGTTATTCCACAGGATCCAGCACTTTGGCCTTTACTAATTAATCATAATACACGTGCAATCATTGTAGAACGTGGACCTCAGCAAATAAAAGATATCAGTTTCCCAAATGATAAGAACAATCGAAAGTTTTCAGTAATTCACTACTTAAGAAAACTTCCTAATGGAGAAGAATTATGTCGCAGCTGGCTCTTGTATTCAGTATTAAAAGACTCAGTGTTTTGTTTCTGTTGCAAACTGTTCAGTATGAAAGCAATTGGCATATCATCACTTACTCATACAGCTTCAAGTGACTGGAAAAGCATGGCGGCAATTCTTTCTTCCCACGAGAAAAGTCCTGAACATTTGCAGAACTATCAAAAGTGGAAAGAACTACATCAGCGATTACAGAGGGATAGTACAATAGATGCAGAAATTTTGCGCAAGATGAAGAATGAAGAAAAGTATTGGCAGCAAATATTAAAGCGTTTAATAGCATTAGTGAGAGTTTTGGGTGAACAGAATCTAGCTTTTCGCGGTACAAATGAAACATTGTACAGTGCCAATAACGGGAATTTTTTAAAATTTGTGCAATACTTAGCCATTTTTGATCCATTAATGAACGAACATCTACGAAAGATATCAAATAAAGAGCTTCATACACACTATCTTGGCAAAGATATACAAAATGAACTTATTCAACTGTTAGGAAATGCTATTAAGAAAGAAATCATACAAACAGCAAAAGCAATGAAATATTTTTCAATAGTTCTCGATGGTACTCCTGACTGTAGCCATGTTGAGCAAATGACAATAATTATTCGTTTTGTTAAAGTTGATTCATTGAAAAAGGAGTTTAGTATCAAAGAACATTTTTTAGGCTTTGTACCTTTAAAGAAAACAACTGGAGCCTATATGGCAGTAACGATAATACAACAACTAGAAGAAATGGAGTTACCTATTGATAATTTACGTGGCCAAGGCTACGATAATGGCGCAAATATGATAGGCAAAAATAATGGTGTTCAAAAGAAAATATTAAACATTAATCCTCAAGCATTGTTTGTTCCTTGCAGCGCGCATACTCTTAATTTGGTTGTCAATGATGCTGCAAATTGTTGTCTAATGGCTACAAGTTTTTTTGATATTGTCCAACGTGTGTATGTATATTTTTCGTCTTCAACACATTGGTGGGTAGTTTTCACTAGTCATCAACCTACGTTAACTGTTAAACCTCTAAGTGAAACAAGATGGGAAAGCAGAATAGATGCTATAAAGCCTTTGCGATATGAACTTGGTAAAATGTATGATGCACTGCTAGAAATAGCTGATGATACTTCTCTAACTGGATCCTCAGGAAGCACTGCATGCAGTGATGCTAAAGCACTTGCGAATAGTGTTGCAAAGTTTAAGTTCGTGGTTTCAATTGTTGTATGGTACAACATACTTTTTGAAATCAATATAACAAGTAAGCAGCTCTAAGCTAAAGATTTGGATATTCATGCTGCTGTACAACAGTTACAACACACACAAGCCTATTTGGTTGACTGTAGGAGTGACATAGGTTTTGCAAGAATGCTAGTGGATGCTGCTGAAATTGCTAAGGATTTGGAGATACCACCAACCTTTGAGGCAGAACCACGATTACGGCGGAGAAAAAAGCAATTTGCATATGAAGCTGAAGATGAGCCTGTGCAAGATCCAAAACAAAATTTCAAAGTGAATTTTTTCTTTGCTATACTTGACACAGCAATAAGGTCGGTTGAAGAAAGGTTTGAACAAATGAGAACAATTGAATCTGTATTTGGTTTCTTATATCATATTCATGGTCTACAGAGTAAAACTTCCCAAGAAATATTGGAATGTTGCATGAAACTAGAATCTGCTTTACAACATGGTGATAACAGAGATTTAGTTGCATCAGATTTGTGTGGCGAACTACAGTCTATTGCACGACAACTTTCTGAAGAAACAAAGTCTCCTCAAGATGTTTTTCGATTTATTCTTTGCCAAAACTTGGAAGACAGTCTACCCAACCTTTGTATTGCTCTTCGTATTTTGCTGACATTACCTGTTTCTGTCGCTAGTGGAGAGCGTAGTTTTTCCAAACTAAAATTGATAAAGACATACATTCGATCATCCATGTGCCAAGACAGATTAGTTGGGTTGGCAACTCTTTCCATTGAGCACGAACTTGCAGACAAGCTGGACCTAAAGGACCTTGTGATCAATTTTGCCCAGAAAAAGGCACGCAAAATACAGTTTTGATATTTTTAAATAAATAAATACTTACCTGGTGTTTTCACTTTATTTTGCATTTTATTTTGATTTTTTTACGTAAAAGAGGTGCGACCTTTGAAGTTTTGCCTAGGGTGTCATAACCCCTTTGCACCGGCCCTGTATATATATAATATATACTTTTGTCAATTTAAAGCATGACCAAGTGTTATTATTTTGTGTAAGTAACTAAAAACGTGTTGTGTTAAACTTAGGAAGGTCGATGAAAATGGTTCTGCCTTACACTGTTATGACCTATGCCATTTGTAAATTACTTAAATAATGTTAAGTAGTAATTGTAAATGTTAAATAGTAGTTAGTAAATTATTTTACCTCATACATTTTATGTTAATTTTACAGATGGATTAATTTTTTCAAGCTGAAGGCGATTTTCTAAAAGGGTATTAGTTAAGGTTTTGCAACATTAAATTGTGGAAAACAGCCACTATAAATTAATTATGTAACAGACCGACCAAAACCCGTATTACGGGTTGCTTTTTGTCTGATTTACTATTAAGCAAAAGTTATATGAATTTAACTTTCGAACGAAAAAACTCCAAAAAAAAATTCTGCAAAGTTTCGAATTTTTTTGTTTCGTTGTCAACGAAAATCTTAAAAAAAAAAAAGGCTAATACTTTAAACTTCAAAAATAATCAATTTAAATAAAAATTTCAAATTATTTTAAATTTTAAATTATTTCGCATTTTTTCCATTTGCATTTTTTCGCTTTTTTTTTCGCAAAATTTTAAATTATTTCGCATTTTTTCTAAGTTAAACATATTTTTAATCTGTTTTATGTTATTTCAAGTAAAAAATATATTTTATATATGTATATTATTGGTTATTAAAAATTATAAACACAACATTTATAATAAAATTTATTAATTTAAAAATTATGTTTAAATTTTTTAAAATAATAAAATTAGTATATTTTTTATAATTTTTATTAAGAAGTTATTTTGTTTAAAAGTTTTATTAAGTTTTATATATAATTTCATTAATTATTAATGTGATTATGTTTATTATATTATAATATAAATATAATATATTTATTAATAATATGAAAATGTATTCAATTTTTTATTTAATTATAGTGTATTAATTATATTTGTATATAGAAAAATAATAATATTATATGTATAATATCACAATTTTGATTATTATTTTATTTTTTGTTTCTTATTTATTTGTTTATTGTTATATTTCACATTTAATTTTTCTTTAGATCGTCTATCTAAAAGTATTAAAGTTTATTCTTCTGATGATGATTTCAATTTATTCTACGAATGTTTTTACAAAAGTCAATCGTCATTCACTGATGAAATAAACTCAATTGTTGATGAACAAAATAAACAATTGTTGTTAAATCCTATATAATATATATAGGATAATATATCTAAAATGATATTATCATAAAAATACATGGTCGCAATTGTGTTTTTTTGAACAATAACTGCTGTTTAGTAAATGCAAAAATCAGAATATAAAAAAACTTGGAGTGGCATTTGGAAAACGCTTTATAAAGCGTTTAGATTTTGTCTAATTTACGTTTAAATCTAGTCTAATTAACGTATATAACATGGTCGATGACACGGATTTCAAAGTAGGAGGGGTGGGGGGAAGAGAAGGGGCACAATTATCAGCTTTTAAAGAAAGTCTTCTATATCTAGAATTTTCTTTAAAAAAAAGAGAAGGTCGCTTACAAAAAAAGTGGGATTTTTTCAATGGAAGCTTCCGATATTTCCTGTATCATCCATGCTTTTTTATGACATAGAAATATTAGTAACGTCGCGACATAACAGTGGTTTTTACCAGATCTGTTCCAACAATTTTCTTTAGCAAATGTAACTAAAAATGTAAAATAAAAATTAAATATTTAGCTATTAAACGTCTTGATTATAACAAAGTTGAATACCTACTTTTACACAACCATACGAGCGTTTACAAAATAAATTTAAATTGTTTATAAAACTTACGAAAAAAGTTCTTGCAGAAGGACTTTCATAACGAGAGACCAGCAACTCATATTTTTTAACTGTGTCAATGTCGCCATCAATAATTTCTAAAACATCGGAGTCCATTGATTTGTAGGCATTTACACCGTGACCTAAGCTGTTATGTGAGTCTTCTGACCAATGGCTATATTACTATATTATAATATAATAAACGTTTATTAAACGTCGATCAAACGTTTAGAATAACGATTTATATCAGTTTATATTGTAGATGTATGATTGACGTTTACTGAACGTGTATATAAAAAGATTTAAAGCGTAAATTTTAAACTTATGAAAACTTCACGCCATGGATTAGATTGATTTCAGTTAGAATCATTTAAATATGTGCGTCTTGATAAAAATTCTTTTTTTTTAATTCTTGGAATAATGTTACACATGGAAATATCAATTTCAAACATTTAAGTAATATAAACTCGTGAATTTCATTTCTAAATCTTCTAAAATTTGTGCTTCCTAACACACTTATTTGGATAAAACGTTATTTGGTGCTGAAATAATTTGTATGAGCAGCAGTGGCGCAGAGGCTAGAGAAATTGTCGCATAATTAGCGGTTCGATGTCTCCTCTGGCTATATAAATAACATATGGCAAAAAAGATAGTGTAAACTTCCTCGTTAAATTCTCTTTCACGATTTTTTGTGGTACGAATGGAATTCCTTCTTGATGCACTTTAATCAGCTAAAAAAAGAATGATGATAACATTAATAATGCAAATAATAATAATTATTATGTTCCAAGATTGCATAAAAATAAGTTCGCTAAATTAAAAAAAAGATCGCAACTTGTACTTTGGTTAAACGAGACACGCAAAAAAACCCGTTTGAATTTAAAGATCAGACAAACAAAAATACTGTCTTGCTTTTCCCGTCGTTCCTATAGTTCCACTAAGACCAAATGAATATTAATACAAACCTAACTGTTTCGTTTTATTGTTGCTTGTAAAATTGTGGTATATATTTTTATGAAGAAATGTCACTAATTTCTTCATTTTTAAAATAAAATTTTTTAAACTTTTGGTATTTATGGACTTCATTTTAAAAAATAGATGACATCGGCATATTTTGCATAAAGTGATGTCATCGAAGTTTAAATTTTTTTTTTTTTTTACTTGAATAAGTGATTTTTTTGGTATACTCAAATAGCAAGCATAATTTTGGATAAATATGTGTTTTTGGATAACTAAATAGAACAGAAGCAGATGTTAATATATTTATATTTAATTATTATATTAGTCAAAAATTGTTACAGATAAAGTAAAATAAACTGTTAGAGATAAAAAAAAAACTTGTGGACAAACTGTTACAAATAACCAATATATTTATCAATAAACAATTACAGATAAAATAGCATTTCAAAAAATTAATAAAAGGTAATTTTTAAATAAAAAATGGGTCCTCCTGCTCAGCCAAAACCAACAATAGAAAACAATCAACCTTTAAATGAAGAAGCACCTAGTTTAGACACAGTTGATGGTCGTCCTCAACGATTTAACAATGGTGGTACTCGTCTTAGAAATCAACCTAGAAATGTTGTTGTTAATGTAAATAATTCATCAAATCAAGTTATTGAATCAACTCCAGAACTTTTTACTCAGTTTCTTGTTAATCGAATGGAGAATGACAATATTGAAGTTCCAGAAGAACTTCGAAACAGATCTAGAAATGGCACTGTCAATAAGTATGTAAAATTTAATTTATTACTATAAAATTAACTTGCTAACAATATTTTTCAGATTGCAGTTAACTAGGAAAGTGACAATTCAGTTGTAGTTTTTTATGGCTTTGATTTGTGTGACTGAAAGTTTTAAATTTTAAAATTCTTGATTAATTTTACTTAAAATTAGGAAGTAGCTAACAAAATTTCTCAGTTTAATGTATACTGGCTTAAAAACTGAAATAAATTTTAAAATATAAATTTTATTCAAAAATCAATAGAATTCATAACTTAGTAATAACTAAAAAAATCTGTTTATCTAAAATACTATACATTTTTAAGTTTTGAGAAAATTGCAAAAGCACTTTTTTTTTTCAGTTTGCATTTAATTTTTTTTTCATTTGTTTTTTAAATATAATTTATTTTTTAATTTGCAACCAGCAAATTAAAAAATAAATTACATTTATATTTATATTTAATTATATTTAACATTTTAGTTTTCTTAAACAAAATTTAATTTTGATAATTGATTTGAATTAATTTAAAATTCAATTAATATAATAGAATCAAGTTACTTGACAAAAGAATATAAGTATATTATCAAAGATTTTATTCATTTTTATATATTTTATTTTTTATTATTTATTGTATATTTTATTAACCTTGAAATCTGAAAATTTTTAGTTTAACATAACTTAACTGACTGTTATAACTATGACATGAAATAATAAGATAAAATAACTGAAAGTTATATCATGTCAGCATTGGTCTTCAGAATAAGTAATATCATTCATGCTCTGCTAAGACTTGTTAAACATAAGGTTTATTTAAAGGGATTTTTTGATGAAATTAAAATTAATAAAATAAGTTTGTTTTATCATTTAAATAGAAAATTTGATTAAAAGAAAAAACTAAAGTCTTCTTAAAACTGTTTTCTATAGCAAGAAATAGTCTTGCTATAACAAACTCTTTTTTGTTTTGTTTAGCAAGCCGATTGTTATGTCAAACAATATCTAAAATAGAAAGTTCTTGTTCATTACTTTATGAAATAACAAATAAAACTGTATAGTTAATTGCCAATTCATAAATTTGATTGTTATTAAGGTCTTTTTTAAATTTTCAATAATTGCAACAGCATTTATAACAGTTAATTGTGTGATATTTTTTGTAGGCAGAGTGTTTAATTATAATTTAATTCAAATAAGTTAAGCACAGACTAAATGTTTAGTTGAATATAATAGGAATAGCAAGGTGGATAACAATTGTGCGATAGCAACATTTCTGGAATTATTTGGTTGAAAGCCACATGTTTTAAAATCCCATTTAAAAAAAACTTTTCTTCATGCATATTGCTTAGAACTGATATCTGTACCTTCAGACATGTACTTTAATTTTCTAAAGGGGCCATCCATATATTACGTACGTTTGGAGGTCTTACCCCACTCCCCACCTTCCTCTGGCAATGCCCCCCCTCATTAGTTTCATATGCTCAGTGGTCTTACCCCTCCCCCATTTCATTATCATTTAAACTTCAAAAAGCCATTTGAAGGGGTTATTATAACGTTAATTAATTCTTTTATCTTACCGCTTAAATAATTTCTTTTGAGTTGTTTAAATATTAAAAAATGATAAAAAATGGCTTATGTGAAATGACTTACTGCTTATGTTTTTCTTTGAAAATGACTGTTCTGTAAGTTACTGTTGCAAAAGATTTTATTTTGACATTTTATTTTTTATCATTGTTTTAAAATAATATTTTATATTGTTAATATATTGCGATTCTGTTACTTTCTATTACCTTGTGTAATAAAAAGAGCTGGTTTCTATAAATATAAATCATATTTTGAGATATGTTCATACAAAACATTTAGTAACGCAAAAGCTTTCTTTAAAAATGAATCTTTTTTATTATTTCATCAGATTCTTTCTTTTTCTTCTTCAAAATGAAAAATTTTCAAAAGACACCATGCTCTCAAGATACACATTGGAATTGGAAGATAAAAAATTTATAATTTTGTATTGAATTAGTCCATCCTTAAAACAGCACCTGCGTATAATAATATTTCCAAAAAATGCATATTATTTCTTCAAGAAAAATTTGAAATAATTACACATGCCAACCTGAATGTTTATTAAATAAAAAATTAAAATTTATTTCAAAATCCATAAATAATCCAAAATAAGTTTTTTATTTTTACGTTTGCATTTAGAAATTAATTCAGTATTTTTGTAGTTAAAAAAATATTAACATAAGTGAGCTCAAAAAATAATAAATCCATTTTAAAAGTATTTTTTTAAAAAAGGTAAACAATTCTAAAGAATTCTTTAAATATACAGTGTCTCAAAAAATTTTCCGACCAAACAAGTTTTTCGCAAAAAAAAAAATGTTTATGCTATAAATTATACCAAAAACAATTAATAGCGATTCTTACTTTGACTGTCATTTTAATTCTATTGGGAATAGTGTGTTATTTAGCGTTCATATTTTTTGATTCATGCTTCAGTTGGTTTATTATATGTCCTAAAAGAAACTTAGTATTGAATAGGCTTGTAAAAAAATTATCAGACCAAGCAATATTAAGGTAAGTTTAATTAATTTTATGTGAATTTTGTTGAAATATTTCAGCTAATTTTTATACAATTAATGAAATTGCATAACAAAAAACTGTTTTTTTGTTGTAAAAAAAAAAGTTTTATATAAAAAAAAGGTTTAATGTTTTTTGAAGTAAAATGGTAGGAGGTAAATGTCACTCAACTGTTTCTCAGAGAAATTTAGCTGTCGATCTAGTCAATCAGGGTAAAACCTATCACCAGGTGCAGCAAGAGACTGGAATTCCTTATAATACAGAATCCGACATAATGAAGAAGTATAATTTGATCGGAGCAACAGCCAAAAAAGAAAGGGTCACAAAAAAAAGACTTTTAAGAGTTTTGATAGAAACTTAATTATACAAGTCAAGAAAAATCCCTTTATTTCTGTTCGAAAACTGGCTGAGCAAGCCGAAGAGAAATATGGAATCAAATTATCCCATCAGACAATCAGAAATCGTATCCAAGACCAAGGATTTCAAGGACGACTTTTGCGTAATAAACCATATTTGAGTAAGAAACACATGAAAAGAAGATTGGAGTTTGCTAAGAAGTTCAAAATCATGCGGTTAAGTTTCTGGAAAAAGATCCTGTGGAGCGACAAATCAACTTAAAGTCATCTGATGAAGCCCAAAAAGTTTAGAGAAAAGATAAAGAAGCCTACAAATTAAGCTGTGTGAGAGGAACTGTCAAGTATGATGGCGGTAACGTGATGTTCAATGGCTTGGAAGGGTGTTGGGAAACTTCAATTTATTGATACTATAATGGATCAGTTTGCAATAAAGAAACATTTTAAAGCAAAATTTGAAGTCATATGCTCGAAAACTTCTGCTAGGACCTGATTTTACATTTCAGCAAGATAACAATTCCAAGCATAGTGCCACTAAAACCAAGGAGTGGTTTGCTGAAAATAATGTTGAGGTCTTGGAATGGCCCGGGAAATCACCGGACCTTAATCCCATTGAACATTTGTGGGAAGTTTTAGACCGAAAAAATGGAGATGGGTTATTTTCCAGAAAAGATAACCTCAAACTGGCAATTAAAGAAAACCAGAAGAAACAAAATCTTTAGTCGAATCAATGCCTAGACGTCTAGAAGCTGTAATCCAAGCAAAGGGAGGCCCTAGAAAGTATTAATATAATCGTTTTGTTATTTAATAATTTATTATGGAACAAAAAATATGTTTAATCAAATATTTTTTTTCTTAAAAAAAGTTCCTTTATTTTAAGACTGAAAACCTTGTGGTTCATATTTTACACTAAAATAAACAAAATCTATTTAAAAAGTTCTTTTATTTTTATTAATCTTGAGTTTACCAAAAAAGTCGAAATTAACAAAAATACAGCACTTTTTTTAAGAAAAATATTTAAAAAAATGCTTGGTCAGATAATTTTTTGAGACACTGTAATAGTCTCAACAAATATTCTACCAATGTGTAAAAAAGTACAGTAGTTAAAACTTTTATGACTTTCAGTAATTTAATTTTTAGTATAAATTGAAGTTTATTAATTTGGTCATTAAATTATCAGCTTTCTAATACAAAACTAATTAGACATTTCCTAATAGTTTTATTGACAGTCTTATCTTATTATAAAATGTATTAACCAGCACAAGTGTTGGCATTATTGGACCACAAATCATAATTTCTAGACATTACTTAACAGAATATGCAGTGTATTAGGAACTGAAATGTAAGTTTGTTGGCTGGGAAACATCAGCTTTATATAGTTTTAACACCCAATGAGACAGTCTAGTGTGTACCACCGGTGGTACACACTA